CCTGCTCCTTCAGTATTGCTCCACAGGTGTGTGTGAGAGAGTGTGTGAGAGTGTGTGTGAATTATAACACTATTTGATGGGATGGCGTGCAGCTCATATCACATATAAGAAAATATATGTTATTAAAACGGATGTTATTTATGAGATATTTATTGTCGATACTGAAATCATTGTTTATTAAGGTACTCAGTGTGTCGATCTGTCTGAATATTTTAGGTAATAGCCCCTCTCCTCCCTCCTCTCACTCCCCTCTCCTTTATCTGTCTTTTCCTCAACCCCTGAGTCAGTGATATCGCCTCGTTGTGATTGGTTGGTTCTTTGTGTTCGCCCCGCCCCCCTCCACGTCACTGCCTCGTTTGTGCATGTCTGTTGTCATGTTGATGTAAGTGTTCTCCGTGTCGTGCTAACATGTGAACAACATACATGTAGCCTGGTATCATTTGTGTGCAATCAGTAAATATGTACCTAAGAGTTGAAATAAAAACATCATCGCTCCAGATATCCGGCTGCTTTCTGGTTTATTTTTCGGGCATTTGGTATCATTATGTGGGTTGTTCAGAGGTGTAAAGTAACTAAGTACATTTACTCAAGTACTGTAGTATACGTTTGAGGTATTTGTACTTGAGTATTTCAATGTTTTGCTGCTTTCTACTTCTACTCCACTTCAGTTCAGAGCTAAATGGTGTACTTTTACTCCACTATATTTATTTAATACCTTTTGTTACTAGGACAATGTTTACTTGTAACAGAGTATTCCTACACTCTGGTACTTCTACTTTGACTCAAGTACAAGATCTGAGTACTTCTCCCACCTGGTTGTTACTCAATGTTCTTTTTTTATACAAAAATATACTGACGAAAAGGAAGCAACAAGCAACTTTTCTTTACAGTTATTTTATTTTCTTAATTTAAGCTTTGGAGACCCGATTAGGAAATACACACAGAACAACATAGCCATATGTTTTATATTTCATGCAACATGGATTTTTCCTAAAATCTAAGAAACTGTATGCAATTATGTTTCGATAATAATATCTAAAAATATTTTAACATTTCACACAAATCTTTTTATTTACTTCATCTGTCCTCACGAGGAACAAAATACAAAACTACTTTCTATTACACATATCGGTTTTTTCTTGAGCACACCTGCTCCTTGGAGGTGATTGTTGTCACACCAGCCTACGAAGTTCTCCACGGGGTCCCTGTACTCCTCCTCTTGTCATCTGTGATGCAGCTGACGATGGAGGAGTCATCGGAGAACTTCTGGTGGCATGAGCTGGAGTTGTATATATTTATTTAATATTTGACTGCCGACACACTGCTCTTCGAGGCTCTGAGGGCTGACATGATTTAATCCTGTTTAAGATTCAAGATTCAAGGCTTTTAACGTAATATATTATATACATGATACTATGACATCTTAGCTCCTCCAACAGTGCAACACAATAAAACAGATAAGATAGTGCAAGTAAATACAAATAAAATAGAATAGAAATAGTGCAAGGAGAGTACAAGTAATTGAAATATGATATATTAGATCAATAATTTGTAAATTGTAACCAGGGTTGGGTTGTAACGGAATACATGTAACGGCGTTACGTAATCAGAATACAAAAATCAAGTAACTGTATTCAGCTCGCGTTACATTTGAAAAACTAGTAATCTGATTACAGTTACTTTCGTAAACCTGAAGTGAATACATTTTGGATTACTTATGTGAATTATTGGTGGAAAGATTTCCTCACAACATTTAATATTCATTACTAAAGGTACAGCCGAATCATCACAGCCCACAAAACCTTTTACCGCCGCAGATGGACCAAAAAAGCGTTTGAAAAAAAATCGCGGGTCCGCTCAGTGAAACAATAACAGCGAAACATGGAGGAACACAAGTCTGCGTTTAAATCGGGTGTGTGTGGTTAAAACACATCAGCCTGCGGTCGCTCTTTCTTTAGCCTTACTAATGATTATTTCTGAAGGTAAACACAGCGAAGGCGGTGCGTGAAAGGCACTGCGTGCTCGTCTTCTCAGAGGCTGAGTTAACCCTCCCGCTGCCTCCTGGTGCTGCAGAGATTTCATGAAGTGAAGGAGGTGTTCCTTCTATAAAACAGCTGCGGGCAGCAGATACTGTGAGAGTCACGGACATGAATTCATAGATCAATGCAGACTGGTGCACACACTCTCCTGTTTTGCCAATCCGGTGCTTAAACAAATATAGCTCCACACCCCTGGCCGTAATGTCCTTAAAATGAAGTCCGAGTTTGACATTTTAATTCATGTCCTGCCAACACTGGCAGGACAGAAGGCGACACGCTCGTTCTAAGCCGTGTCCCTCACTCCTCACATCCCAAGCTGCATCCCCAAAAAGTTAATTATGTTGTTACATCGTTTCAGATGTTGTGTTTCAGTTGTGCTCTTGATAAGCCATTAAAACAGTAAAAACACGTTCCTTTTGCTTTTTGTGTCTCCTGTTCACCAAAACATACCCATCTGTGATGGAAAAAGAAAGTAATCCAAAAGTAATCTAAAAGTAATCTGATTACGTTACTTTTTTAAGACACGTAACTGTAACTGTAACTGTATTCGGATTACTTTCAGAGCCATGTAATCAGTAATCACTAACTGATTACATTTACAAAGTAACCCTCCCAACCCTGGTTGTAACCAGATGAATGTTATGGCTGTTCTTTCAAAAGGTTCAGGTGTTTAAGAGGCTTCGTTTTCATAATCACTCTCTCTGTTGTGACACGGACACATCAGTCTCCTGAGAGTCTCTCTGCTCCTCCACACCGGGAGCACCCCGGCCCCCAGCAGGGAGGAAGCCAGTGCTTTGATCTTAGCGCCCAACACTTCGATCCAGAGTCCAGAGTCTGCATGGAGGAACAGAATCATGCCGGCTTCACTATCTTCCTCACTTACTGCGTTATTCATCCTGCAGGTGAAGTTCTCCACGTGTCCATGATCTTCCTCGGTGACGGTCATGACTACCCAATCTCACACAAAACGTGTAATAGCTACGTTGGTCGACAGGGAAAAACGTATTATATTCACATATAACCCTCTCAAGCCGTGAAATTGATACAATAGGCGCTTTCACACCAAGTACTTTCCCGAGGAATAGTTCCCGGAACTCTTTAATTCCTGAACTATCTAGTAGATCGCGTTCACACCGGAATAAGTCCCTGAGGGAGGATTACGCAAATGAAGCCGCTGACGTCACTTCTTCTTCTTCTGCTTTGGGTCTACTGGCAGGCCGCAAACATCTTCACGGCGTATACTGCCACCCGAAGTCCCGGGTAAATCGCCAGAAGCGCCAACACCTCCTCATCACTCCACCGCTCCCATGTTTTCTTTTGTGTTGCCATAAGTTAGTCTCTCTCCGTTGGTGCGCTGGGCTAATGCTAATGCTAATAATGCTAATGCGAGCAAATAAAATGGCGGCTTCACAAAACTTTTCTGAGTTTTACGGGGCGTGGTTTACAATCCGCCCAGCCAATCAGAAATTGGAATATTTTCCTCCAATGAAAGTACCTGCTCTCTAGGACGGAAAAGGGGTGAAAAGGTTCCCAAAAACTAGGTTCTAGTTCCAGATCTTTTTGGTGTGAACGCAAAATCCCAGGAACTATCGGAACTATTCCTGGGAAAAGTACTCCAGCGTGAAAGCGCCAATTATGTTCCTATTCATTTCTAATGACCAGTTTCCATGTCAAGTGATCGCAAACTTTGCCAGCGTGAGAAAAAAAGAACATGGCGGACACCAGATTTATTTTTAGTGGAAAATCCTAAATTGTAGGATAGTTAAAATAGTTATTGCCGTTAAAATGCTTTTTGATTACATTCCTAGCGAGAAGTTTATATTGTACTTTTAGAATCTACGTCCAGTGGATGATCCATAGTTAGATATTATGAAGATGATTTGAGCTCCATGTTTCTTTTTACAAAATATTGTATTCATGTCACGTCTTGAGATGGTTATTTGTGAATATACTTTTTCGTTTTGCCCTGTCGACCAACGTAGTTAATTACATGTTTTTTTGTGAGAATGGGTTGGTCATGACTTTCTCCGACTCTTTCCACTTTCTGTCCCCGGTCTTCCAGCTGTAAGTGACGGGTCCCCCTCACAGGTCAGATTACACGGGCCTACCACACTTCCGGTTTGGGAACATGTTTGATCATTACAGCTTTAAATGTGTCACTTTGGACCTTGTTGAGAGAACACGACCACTTCCCCCATGTTCACAGCTCAGTGCAGGGCGGAAAGAAGATCTGTTTCACACCAGCTTCTCAGTTCTTTGGCTTTCTGCTTTTTGTGTCACCTGACAGCATTTCCTTTCTCTTTTTTAGAATATTGAACTTCCTCTTTAGAAGAAGATGATTCTCATCATGAGAAATACGTTTTTGTGATGGAATTGTATTCTTATTTTTAAACCGTGAGTTATAAATTAAGTATAGGCTAGTACATGTTAAAAAACAAAATGGAAAGAAGATCTGTTTCTCACAACAGCATCAGCCTCTGAGGATTGTGGTTTTCCGCTTTATCTGTCATGAAACCGACGGCACTTCCTTTCTGTTTTTTACAAGACTACCTTTATTCTTTAGAAGTAAAAGATAGCAGTTTTATGAAAGAAGGGACGTTTTTGTCTTCTGAGTGTACTTTAAAAAATATATATGGCTAAGATAACCCACAGCCCATACCTGCTCGACTCAGGACTGCCTGTCAGCGGAGACCCTCACTGCCGACTTGGGAACATGTTTAATCATTGCAGCTTTAAATGTCTCACTTTAGACCTTGTTGTTGATCTCCACTGAATACACACCCTCATCATCTTTAGCTAAACGTCCAGTGACTTTGTCCAGTAAGATGCTGTCTCTGTTATGGGTCAAATCAACAGGAGGGTCATCAAGAACAAAAGTCTTGGTGATAGGGTGAACATGAACTTACACAAAGCAGTTTTAAAAAGCAATGAAAGATTATTTTTATTTCATATTTGATTGCCAAATAAACTGCATGCAAGATAAATGAATACATGATATCGTCACCATTGAACAAAAACATATGCAAAGCTGTTTTAAAAGTAATACATACAACTATTTTATTTCATATTTGACTGCATTCGCTGCTGACGTGCTATAATCATGTTTAAGAAATAACAGCAAACACCCTCTTTAAGCTTCATTTTCATAATCCCTCTCTCTGCTCTGACACGGACACATCAGTCTCCTGAGAGTCTCTCTGCTCCTCCACACCGCAAACACCACGACCCCCAGCAGGGCGAGGAGAGCCAGGGATCTCATCACAGCGCCCAACACTTTGATCCAGAGTCTGCAGGGAGGAACAGAATCATGCGGGCTGCTCTTTCTTCCCCACGGGGGTCCGGGACCTCCATCCTGCACCAGAACCCTCTTCCACGTTGCTCTGGATCCCTGAGCAGGACGTCCAGATGAAGCTGCCTCCACTCAGTCCAAGGCCCGGCTCCCAGCCTCCAGCAGCCCCACGAGGACCCGGCCGGATTCAGAACTTCTTTGATCAACACAGCTTCATATCTTACTCCAGAACTCTCCAGAGGCATCTCTCTGAGGAGTCTGTTTGGAAGTGGATCACTTTCTTCCTCACTTACTGGGTTCTTCATCTTGCAGGTGAAGGTCTTCACATGTCCATGGTCTTCCTGAGTGATGGGCATGACCTTCCCCGACTCTTTCCACTCTCCATCCCCGGTCTTCCAGCTGTAAGTGATGGGTTCAGCCCCGGTGGTGTTCCCCTCACAGCTCAGGGTACATTGGTCACTTTCATGGCTGCATGTCAGCGGGGCGATCCATATGTCCGGCTTGGGAACATCTTTGATAAACATAACGTTGTATGTCACTTTTTGCACTAGGTTGTTAACCTCCACTGAATACACACCCTCTTCAGCTTTGGTCATTTTCTCCATAGCTAAACGTCCAGAGGCTATGTCCAGTTTGATGTGTTCTCTGTTATGGGCCAAAGGAAGCACATCTTCCACCCATTCTGCCAGAATACTATCTTGAAACTTCCACTGGATGATGGTGATCGGATCGGAAGGAGCAGGCCTCAAGTCCAGCGTCACGCTACCGCCTTCCTTGATGAACTTCTCCTCAGTAGAAGCAGGGCGAAGAGAGGCCAACACCAGCAGAGAAACCACCAACACTTCCCCCATGTTCACAGCTCAGTGCAGGACTGAGAGGATCTGTTTCACCTCAGCATCAGCCTCTCAGTTCTGTGGCTTTATGAGACAGCATAAAGCATAACGCTCTTTGTGTCACATTAGAATGACAGTGTCCTTTTTTATATTGAAGTTCCTCTTTAGGGCCACGTGGGAAGAAAGTATTAGAGTTGGAAACATATTGTCAGAGTTCAAACTTAAAACTTTGAATCCCGAGCCAAGTAAATAGTACATATTAAATACATTAATACAAAAACTTAATACAAAATGTACAGCGTTAAAGAAAAAGAAACCAACTTGCATTTCAAGTATTTACATTTTTTAAATTAATGAATAGACGTCAATTTATGTTTTCAACTGTTTACTGTTTACATAGATCGTACCCAGAGACACAGTACACATTGGAACAATATGATTGCATACACAATACAAAATTGGCATCTCAATATCTTATATAATATATTTATCTTTAACACTACATCTGATATCTTAACTTTAGAGGTAAAGAGGAAGGCACACGAGGTTATGAGGAACACATACAAAAGTGGATTTAAATTAAATGACCACATTCACTTTACAGCATTTCCTGCTTTGTGGTAAAAACGGTGTGCAAACTTCTTCCCTCTGTCACAGGGAAATGTGTGTTTGGGTAATTTAACGGATTACAGAATACTTGGTATCAAAATCCGGACATAGAAAACATGATAAGAGGAAATAAATAAATATGAATCATCGTAAATTCAACCGGTCCCATCGGACTTACAAAATATGTCCCACAATGCATTTCACCCTCAGTCTGTACTGGAGTGCTGCATGATTACAGCTCAAACACTTATAAGGAATTGAGCAATTTTAATCTGCTTGCTGTCGCTACATGTGAGTCTCTTTGCTCGTCACTTATCGTCGTGTTTAATAAAGATGTTTCTTGTTACAAGCATTCAATTTAAGGCTGGTGAATGATTTCTCTCCAGTGTTTTTACTCTTATTTAACCTCATTGAAGGCTCATCAGAATATCACCTCTAAATGAGCAGCAAATGTGTTTATTTATCCAATCGAATCAAATAAATGCACTAAGAATGCGATAAGCGACAGAAAACCCTGAAATCAAACCAAATTAGGCAGTTATTATTATTTCTAACTGAAGAATTATGTAAACTTTAGTGCAGTGGAAACTCTCTTATTAGCTTTTTGGTCATGCATTAACCTTTAAGAGAAACGTTGGCCTTTTAGCCTTTGCAGGCCATTTACATGCACTGAAACACACGCAAAGAGGAAACCCCAGAGAGCATAACAGGGCCTCTTTAAGAAGAACCTGGAGCACTTTTTAGTTTGGAGATGACTTTGAGTTCCTGTACGTTTGTGCAGATTTTGAGAAATTGTTATTCAATAGTCACCGTTTTATGATGTAAAAAAATAAAATTCTATTTGAATGTTTCACGAAAGAAAAGGTACATACATATATTTGTGTTTATGTGTGCATGTAAAGGCAATTTGCAGATCAGACTTCCAGAAATCATTAACTCCTTAAGTCAATGAGAAAAAGTTGACATTATTATTTAGTAGTCAAAATATAAAATTTCATTCGATTTAAACTTCCATAAAAAGGAACGCTACAAAAAATGCTGGTCTGTCATAGTTCTTAGAAAGAAGGTAGAATCAGCAGGTCAGACTGTAAGAAAAGGAAATATTGGAAAGTCTGTGTATCATTACGTGTGTTTCCACTCTCTAGGACGTTCAGGACGGAGACACAAGAGAAAGATTGAATCGTTCCCCTGAAGAATGATTGTGGTCCCTATAAATCTAACCTGACTGTATTTTCGGGAATGTTTGTGGATGCATCGTGTCGCTAAACTTTATTTAGAAAAACCTGCGATTAGCAAGTTGGATTTCCCCCTTCTCTGGCATCTCTGGAATGTAATTAAAGTCACATACGTGTCTTTGTCGCCCGGTGTACCTCCAGGTAAGGCACAAACACCTTGTTTTTTTCAGGAAATAGAAAGGCAGTTTGGCGACTGTGTTTTCCCGTGGAGTCACACACAAGAGGAGCAGATGATTACACCTTCGTCCTGGAGGCAGAGCAGCTTCTTCGTCCCTAACGGTGTGTGTTCAGAGACGTTAACGTGGCGATCAGTCCTTCGAGGTAATTAAAAGAAGGGACAGGTCACCGTTTCTCTGGTGCAGCAGCTTCATAAGGAATCATGTGATGAAGGCCTCACTTGTGGTTCGATTTCAGTTTGTCATCTTCGTACAAAAGAGCCTGAGGGAAGAGGAGAGGAGAGGGAGACACGATTCATGAGAACGATGACAAAGAGATGCTGCGTACAATCACACTGACTATCAGAGATCTTTTCTGGGATTGGAGGTGTCAAAAACGATAGGAGAAAACATGGAGTACAACTTTCTGTTAAATATGTGCCTTGCACGTGTGTGTGTGTGTGTGTGTGTGTGTGTGTGTGTGTGTGTGTGTGTGTGTGTGTTTTATACCTTGCTCTCCAGCAAGTTGGCTCTGTACATTACTGAAGGAGTGTTAGCTGTGTGTGTTTTGTTGTACAATATATGTGTGTGTAAGTTGCTCTCCAGCACTCTGTAGTGTGCGTTATAATGAGTGTGTGTGTGTGTGTGTGTACATTGCTCTGCAGCATTCTGTAGTGTGTGTGTGTGTGTTTGTGTGTGTACATTGCTCTCCAGCACTCTGCAGTGTGTGTGTGTGTGTGTGTGTGTGTGTGTGTGTGTGTGTGTGTACCTTGCTCTCCAGCACTCTGAAGTGTGTGTGTGTGTGTGTGTGTGTACCTTGCTCTCCAGCACTCTGCAGTGTGTGTGTGTGTGTGTGTACCTTGCTCTCCAGCACTCTGCTGTGTGTGTGTGTGTGTGTGTGTGTGTGTGTGTGTGTGTGTGTGTGTGTGTGTGTGTGTACCTTGCTCTCCAGCACTCTGCAGTGTGTGTCGTTGCTCAGCTCCTCCAGAGTGTCGACTGCCGGTCTGTTCAGAGTCTCCGGCAGCAGGAGGCTGAGGCAGCCGGCCGAGAAGCCGCTGAGGCAGAACACCGTGAAGGGCATGGAGGTGTGGAGAGCACGCTGCAACACACACACACACACACATTTCCAGTAAAGACACAAGGGTTAATCTGTGGTTTGACTTTAAGATCAGTTCATAAATCACCAGTTAGATGAAAAACATTATACTTCCTGATCTGAAGTTGAACTTTACTACTTTTGAAAGACTGAAATATAAAAAAATGATCCCGCATCATTGGATTTATTTTACATTTATTTTTATATTATTAATAGACATTGTTAATAAAGGGGCTATACATGATGCTACCAAACCACCACTAGGAGGTGCTATATGTTAAAGTTTAAGTTACACCGGCTGCCAACACCCAAGGTCAAAGCACAGAGGTTCAATTTGCTCGGTTTCAGGGGAGATGTATACTTTAAAGTCTTTAGTTATTTCAGCAGATGTGCCGGACAACTCATGGATGTTATGTTGTATACATTATTTAAATTGGGTTAGATAAAGTAGTTATTTTTAAAAGCAGAGTATAGGTTATTCTATTCATCATTGGACTCAATAAAGTAGGTCCAAACATAACGTATACATGTATTTTAAGGCCAATGTCTTCTCTAGTTTTAACCCGGATAATAATACTGTAACACTGGAAGTGACTGAGATTAAGAGGGGCTTTGTCCTTTTGGGCGGGTTAGAACACGACTGATCTCATGCTTTTTCCACCTTCGAGGAGCTGAATCATGTTTCAGCGTCCTGAAGGAATTCATGAGTAAAATCAGGTCAAAGTCTGAGGCACTCATCATGTTTACCTGACTTAGCTCACACTGAGATATGTAATGTTTATGTGCTACACTGGCTGCTATTATCCAAACAACGGCCACTTTTTCTTATAACTGTCACACTTTCCATGTTAAATTCTTAAAAACTTAAACAATAGATACATATAATCAATAGACGAACATAAACAAGACAGAAAAATAAGAATCCATTGAAAGAATTATGTTTTGAAGTAAAATGATCGTATCTCTTTAAAAGGTTTTGTACGTTTTTCTTTAGCTATTCTTGTAGTTCCTGTTTCTACTTTTACTCTTGTGTGTGTTATTCTTCATGTGCGGTTTACCTTCCCTTTTTAATTATTTTCTTAGTATATCTTTGTTTCTGCAGGCAACTGCTGAATTCCCCCTGAGTGAACTCACCGTGTGTCCCTTACGTGTAATAAAGGACTTTTCTCCACAGGGCCCAACGTTTTAATAAAACCTATGTGTTCTAACACCTAGTCAAAGATGGGTAAGAATTTCTGATCAAAATCAGATTACTAACGATGTTTCCACTCGGCTCTTATATGCAAGCGACACCATTGTTTGGGGGTTCAGGGGAGCACGTCGCTTGAGCAGCGCGCGCAACGGAATAGGCGGAGAGGGGGACACACACACACACACACACACACACAATCACACACCACACACACACACACTACACACACACACACACACACAACACACACACACCACACACACACAACACACACAAACACACACACACACACACACACACACACACACCACACACACACACACACACACACACACAGCACACACACACACACACACACACACACACACACACACACACACACACACACACACACACACACATCACAACACACACACACACACATCACACACACACTACATCACAAACACGAACACACACACACACACACACACAGCACACACACACACACTACACACACACACACACGATCACACACACACACACATCCACACACCACCACACACACACACACACACCATGGAGGGAAACAAACGGAGCAAGGATTCCTCCAACTCTGCAGGCCATGGAGCAAACTCCCCAAACCAGCGTTCCTGGAAAATACACATTGGAGTCATTAAAGGAAAGCACACAAGTGTAATGTGTGGGTATCATTGAACATGGTGTGTGTGTGTGTGTGTGTGTGTGTGTGTGTGTGTGTGTGTGTGTGTGTGTGTGTGTGTGTGTGTGTGTGTGTTCACCTGATGACTGTCGGGTAGAGTTCGGAGGTGTAGACGTAGGCGATGTTGAACGCTGCGCTGACCATCAGTTTCCCCAGAAGCGCCAGCGACGTAACGCTCAGCAGAGAGCCTGCAAACACAGACTCCACTGATTACATGTAATCAAACGGAAGCTAACTTGTTGCTTCATCTGTTTTCGATAACATCAACACATAAAGAAATTGGCCATTTTGATGCTGCAGAACTTTGCAATTGTGATTATTGTGGAAAATTCAGGGATGGACTGAATGTAATTATGAATGAAGTTTTGCATTTATTGAGTCCAATATGAGGATGCGATCAAGGAAAAGATGAAAACGAAACGTAAACAAAAGTAGGCTCTTAAAATACTTGATTATTTGGAATAAGAATAAAAGAAAAATAGCAAAAGAGAAGAATTACATAAGAGAGTTTAAACAGAGTTCATAATCAGTTCCCTGTCAAGTGCATTTTAAATCTTAAAGAGGAAATACAAAACAATGAGTCTCTCATACTTTGTGATCCTAAAAATAACAGCTGGTATTAGTCAGATGCATTTCGACTGCCCAGCTCTTGGTTTCTTTCCTCTCACACTTCCTCCACAGTTGTGCTCAGATGTGTATTTCTCTGTTTAACCCTTATGTTGTGTTCGGGTCTCCCGTGACCCGTTTCAAGTTAAAATGATATAATAACTACCCTCTAGTTTTTTTTAATCGGAACAAGGCTTCTTGATATCCTCCACAACAGCTATATAAACACTAATTTTTCAAATGTTAGCCAAGTCTGAAGGTCTCAACAACAAAGAAGTGTATAATTTGGTGTTGGGGAGAACGGCAGAATTACTATGGGTCACTTTGGGTCAAATTTGGCCCAATCAAGATTCATCTTTGACTTTAGACACCCCTCCCCCGCCCCCTTCCTCAACTGTAACAATACTTTTTAAGTCTGTTATAGTCAGATAACATCATCATTATCCACTCTCTTCACTATACAGAATATACTGAGTGAATTTGAATCACATTTTTTACTTAAATATGTGATGTGATGTGTTTTGGGCCATAAAAAA